GAATGATTATTTTATCATGTATTTTAACTTGATGACTTTGCCTGTAATTGGGATTTCCCGTTGGCGATGTGTTTAATAAATAAATAAATAAATAAATAAATAAAGATCGTGAAGAGAACTGGCCCAAGGACTGAGCCCTGTGGTATCCCGCTGAGGACACTCGTCCATCTCGATCTTGTGCCTTGGATCACGACCCTTTGTCGGCGATCGAGCAAAAAGGCCCTGATCCAGTCCAAAAGTTTGCCTTTGATGCCGTACGCTTGGAGCTTGTGGATTAGTCGATGATGAGGCACAGAATCGAACGCCTTGGCAAAGAACGCCTTGTTGTTTTTACTGAGAGCATGTTAGCAGCTGATACCCATGTTACATTTACTTTGACAGTGTTCCTAGATAACATTTTGGCCTGATTGTTAGGGGAAATTCCTTTCCTAAAAGGAAGATAAGAGTGAAAAATTGCAAGTCAGATAAGGCCCAACAAGAGTGAAAAATGGATTAGTGGCATAAATTTGTGTACAAATGGACATGTTGGACATGGGATGAGAGATAGAACAGAAGGGAATGGATTGGAAGGAGCCGTCTGCACTTACAGTGACATTGTGAAAATTATGTGTGACATTGAAAATATTCTGAATATTTTTCATTTGTGCCTCCTTTGTGTGTGATACAAACAGTCTTAGCTATGGTAGGTGTACCAAGTTTTAGCTGCTTGATCATAAAGGGAAGAACTTCTAGTTTTGAATAGTCTATATAGTATATATCCTATGGGCATTGGGTATAGGCATTCACATTTGGCTATTTGGCATAGTATGTTATTGCCAGTCATGGATATTGGATACTGCCACTACTTAAGGATGCATGACTTGTTGTTTTTACTGAGAGCATGTTAGCAGCTGATACCCATGTTACATTTACTTTGACAGTGTTCCTAGATAACATTTTGGCCTGATTGTTAGGGGAAATTCCTTTCCTAAAAGGAAGATAAGAGTGAAAAATTGCAAGTCAGATAAGGCCCAACAAGAGTGAAAAATGGATTAGTGGCATAAATTTGTGTACAAATGTGGTTGAGTGTATGACAAATATGGTTGAGTGTATGGTGCAAAACAATCATCAATGCAAATGCTTTTCCTCAGTAAAATTGGGTGTGGAAAATGCTTTTAAAAATAAGAAATGAGAATGCACAATGATTTCTATTTGGATGTCATTTCCCACCTAAATCAATACATTTTGCTACACTGCACTCAGGTAGAAAAATTGTCAGTATGACAATTGCAGGAAGGCGGAGTGGTTGCAATATTTGGTGCTAAGCATAATGGCTCCTCCCTCCCATCCAGATTAATGATGTCTCTGGAAGACTTCAGTGATTGATATGGTGGATTTGTGATTGAAGTAATGCACATTCTTTGATAATATATAATATGTTGAGCTCAATTCACAGTGAATACAGTGGGTGGGTGTAGTCATAGTGCTGTTAAATGTACATTGTACAGGCAGATAGATAATGTTGAGTAGCTTTGGCATTCCACATTGTTCGTTAAAAATCAGGTGTAGGTAGCCCAGTTGGTTAATGGTGCTGTTTTCATTAGTGCTTTTTACACCTCAATAGATGCATGACACCTATTTAAAGTGGCTGAATGTACAGGCATCAATAACTGTGTGAAAGTATTGTGTAAAAGTCTATATAGTAGATGCAGTTTTTGTTGAGAGGTTTTGAAAGCACTACAGCTTCCTTTGTCAGCCTAGGATAAAAATCTTGAAAACAAACTTAACATGTCAAAAGAAAACTTGAAAATTCAAAAAATGCCACTTCAACTTGAAGTGGCGCAGACATTCGGGATAAACACTTTTCATAAATCGCATTGCATCGCTTCACTTCGTTGAAGAATTCGTAAACAAAAAAAAAAACAAAAAAAAACACAAGAGCATTATCATACAGTCGCTTAACCTGACTTTCGACACACATCTGTCACCATGACACCAGGCTTTACATTCAGTAATTCCCTCTGGCCTTGTTAGTAAAAATACCTTCTTTGCTTTTCCGTTTCCTCCAGTCTGACTCAAAAGTGTTAAGATTTTCACCCTCTTCCCAAGCAACACAGTAACGTGTTTCTCTGGTACGCCCCTAACCGTTAGTTGCGATGTTGGGATTGTGACGCCATTTTCAGAGGTTATGGTGCCCCTATGCGAGGTCATACTGCCTCTTTTGGTGTTTGTGATGCCTCAATCGGTTTGGATTGCTGCCCTGATATTTCCAATTAGTGTGTACTTTGTCGACCTGTGATGTTTTTCCTTGGTGGGCGGGACTGTGGTGCCCAGTTACGGTGACTTGGCGTGGCCTCGGCCGGCCCGCGTTCTGCGGGCTGGCAGCTGCCCGCACCACGGACCAGCCCTAGAGTACTCCGCGACATAGTACCAGAATGTCAACCAGACTTCTTGGCCTCCACAACCGGAACATGTTCCTCGTCTTACAGTGCTTAGCGTTGTTTGCTTATTTTATATTTGATTTTTCATTTTACTTTTGGAAAAGGCTAAAGGTTGCTTTACTCACAAGTGCCGTTTTTCTCATTTTCATCTCCAGGCCCGTACAAGCTGAACGGCTGCCCTCTGAGGCGCGTGCCGCAGCACCTGATGGTCACTACCTCGCTCAAGATCGACATCTCCAACGTCAAGGTGCCTGCCAATCTGGATGACAAGTACTTCAGCAAGAAGAAGGCGCCCAAGAGCTCCGCGAAGCGCACCAAGGATGGTGATATCTTCGAGGAGACCAAGCAGGTATGTGTTGTGAGCAGGTGCACTTGCCAAACTCTGCAAAGGCTTTCACACAGGCATTATTTGCCGGGGCTAACTATTTGAGTCGTGGCACGCTGAACTGAGGAGTATCTTGAATCGATACCTATTTACGTCATGCTACACAGCAGGGATCGGCAACCCTTTTTGGGTTGCGGGCCAGATAGCGATTCGGAAGCAGCCGGCGGGCCGGCGCACAGCATGGTTGCACTTTGCTACATTCTTACGCAATATTTGGGATTTTTTAAAAATAAGTTTAGTTCGAACCTTTTGAATGGAGGGATTCACAAGGACAGTACCCTAAGCGAAGCTTGTTGCGTTGACCCTGCCTCTACCCTCTGATTGCGCAATTCCGGCTCTATGGCAGAATTTAGAGTCCAAAGTTTAGACAGACTGGTAGAGGAAAAAGCAAGTTTGTAATTAGAAGGAATGTTTTTGCCCATTCTCCATAATCTGATAAGAGATCAGCATGCCTCTAAAATCTTTTTTTTCGAGTACCAAGGTACTGAAAATTTTGCCGGCAGGCAAGAGCAAAAATGAAAACAAGGGGCGCGCATTTTCATGAACTCAATTATCTCACTGACTGGCGACAATGTCGCTAATCACGGAGCCTCATGGTCCTATCCTGTAGCGGTGGAGAGAGGCAAGTTATCCCGCAGCGTTCAGCTTGGCCTCAGTGCAAAGCCTGCAGCTGCTTTTTCCGGCGGAGATATAAATTAAACGCGCAGACAGCGTGCATGTGACCGTCAAATGCACGTAGCCAGGTTTCGTTTAGAAAAAAAGCTCTTGACCAAAGCTTACTTTTGTATGTTTTGTCTAGAACTAGTCAGTAGCATTTGAAAATGGCGCTTATAAGCTAGTGAAATGTATGAAGGAAGAACTATTGTGCCAACGCACGCTTTAGTCACTTTTGTACGGAAAAAGTCCATTTCTGAAGGAACCGGGCGGGTCGGAACACAATGCTAGTTGCTGATACCAGCCGCGGGCCCGACGTCAAATGGTCGCGGGCCGGATCCGGTCCGTGGGCCGTAGGTTGCCAATCCCTGCTGTACAGTGTACGAGACGTATTATGCTTGTAATGCCTGGAGTGTTCCTAGCCAAAATGAAGTGAAGACTTTCTTTTTTTGTGACTGTGATGCGGTGTTAATTATGAGTTTCAGGACCATCCCTGCGATTTGCACAAAACTGTGTCCAAGAAACTTATCATGTATTTCATATCGTTGCCCGCACGCACACATCCATCCCCCCCCCCCCCCATTCTGGCGTTGTTGGGCTGGATCCGACGGACTCGTCACTGTATATCTGGATGTGGGAAAGGGCAAAACCAGATGCATTACCAGAAAGTTGAATAAGCCTAAGTTCAATGTTTTATATATATATATATATATATATATATATATATATATATATATATATATTTATTTATTTACCAGCTTTATGGGGAGGACTCTGGCTGTAATCGGTTTGATTTTTAAGACTCGGATGTGTATTTGTGCTAGGTTATTATCTCTCTTTAATCGGCAAAGCTGTGATGTTTCTATTGTGGGCGGGACTGTGGTGCCCAGTTACGGTGACTTGGCGTGGCCTCGGCCGGCCCGCGTTCTGCGGGCTGGCAGCTGCCCGCACCACGGACCAGCCCCAGAGCACTCCGCGACATAGTACCAGAATGTCAACCAGACTTCTTGGCCTCCACAACCGGAACATTGCCTGTCTGATGGTGCTAGTGTTGTCTAACTGTTTGCAACTCCATTGTGTCCCACCACTCGCCATGACTGTCTGGCGTACGTGTGTTCGGGGTGGGACCCCGCTGCTCCTACCCGCTGATGGTTGACGCCCCCACCCCCCTCGTCCGTCCACAGAAGTACGAGCTGACCGAGGAGCGCAAACAGACCCAGGTGGCCGTCGACAGTCAGATTGTCAACGCCATCAGCGCCAACAAGGAGAAGGCGCTCATCTGCGCCTACCTCAACAAGCCGTTCGAGCTGACGCGCGGTATGGTGCCGCACAAACTCAAGTTCTAGGCTGTTCCACCCGACCATCAATACAAATATGCGCTGCGTCAGCGGACCGAGTATTTCTGGACGGATGAAACACGGTAAAGGGAGCGGGATGAGGTGGTCGTGGGGGACGCTGGGAGAAGAGGCATGCGGCCGAGAGCTTGAGGGATCGGGGATTATGCGATTAGTGCATACGAGTTTGTTTGGAGACCCCATCACTAAGAATACACCTTGTATTGCCATTCACATCAGCTAACTACCCTAGCACACGCGCATACGAATTGCTCACACGATACACATTTGATGGGACCGGGTGCCACGTTTACCCTGGAAATGGCTTCGGTTCCAACTTCCCACAGACAATAACGCAATACTGAACACACGATACAAACACTGTCAAATTCCCCCTGCACTGAACCGGTCACGCGGGTCATTGCCACATTGCGAGGGGCTCGTTAACCGGGTGGCGAATGTCTCTCGATGGCTAGCCGCCTGAGCGAGTCACGAACGCACTCACACGGGGCCCTGAGAGGCCGGACCATTCCGCCGTGGTCGCCCCGCTGGCTGGGGCGCTCGTTGGCCGCCGGGTACACAGCCGTCACTGACTATAGGGGCGCCACCGTCGCCCTGTGGCGTCCGCGGGCTAGCGTTCCGGAGGCACGGGCGGCAGCGGTCGGACGGCGGTAAAGCCGGCCGACTCCACACTCAGTCTGTGAACACCCGTGTCGGCCACGCCAGGCAATGAACACTGGACCCTGTCCTCTGCGGCCGCCGGCCGTGTCGGCGACTCCAGCTCATCGGCGCCCGCCAGTCGGTTGAACTTCTGTATCAGGTTCTTGGTGTAGGAGGAGGCGGCGCTGGAGCCGGGGGACGAGGGGCACGCCGAGTCCGGAGCCGGAGTCGGCACCGGCGGCTCGGTCGTCTCGTCACGGTTCCTCTTCTTGGACTTGATCACCTTGGCGTACAGTGCGAGAATCTCCGGCGGGATGTCGTGGTCGCGGCTGGGTGGTGCGCCCTTGAGTAGGTCGGGCACCTCGTGGGCGCCGGTGCCGGCCACGAATCGGCAGTTCTCGTACGTGTTGACGGGCACCTGGTCGTACTCTGGGCAGCCGGAGTCGGCGGCGCCGGCCGGCACCAGGTCGTAGTCGCCCTCCTCGCCGCGCAGCGCCCGCAGCGTCTCGTAGTCGGGGTCGCGGCTGGCGAGCGACGCGTACGGTCCCGAGTCGCCGCCGCCCTCGGCCGACACGGCGTCGTACAGCCGGCCGCCGGCCACCGGCTCGTAGGGGTCGTCCTCGGCGGCGGCGGCGGCCTCGGCAGCCAGGCGTGCCTTGAGCGTCTCGTAGGGCGGCTCGACGGGCCGGCCGAGCGGCCGCTCCGCCTCGCCCGACGAGCGCTGGGACGTGGGCGGCGCGCGGAACGTCGACAGCGTGGTGGTCGGCGCGCCGCCCAGCACGTTCTGGTAGTTGGGCTCGTACACCTGGTCGTACGTCTTGATGTCGGTGGGCGGCAGCACGGCGACGGTCGGCTCCGGCCGCTTCTCCCGCCTCCAAACACTGCCGGGAAAGACACCGTCCAGTGGTCAGATACGGCGGGCTCGGCACTGGAGAGGGAACACTATGCTAGGGAGTTGCGAACTATGTATAATGATCAACATCGTGGCTGGCCGCATACCTATTGCTACTGGTACTTCGATATTGCTTCAGCAAAAATTTACTTCTCACTTCTAACAGCCCTATGGAGCGTGTCGACATTAGTTACGCCTTCCTTGGTTCATGCTCTCAACGGAGGACCGATTCTGAATTATCACGGAAGCCTCAACACACATCAGCCACAACTGGGTGAAGGTTGTGCATGAGTGTCCGTACCTGCAGGCTCCTGGCCGTTTCCTGGTGAACAGAATCCCCACGACGATCATGGCCACTATGGCCACCGTGGCCACCACCAAGATGGCGGCCATCACGCCGCTGCTCATGACCTGGTGGTGCTCGTGGGTGACGGGCTGGCCGTGCTGCTCGGTGGCCGGGCCGCTGTCGGAGATATCCGCCGAGCGGCCCGCGCCGGACTGTAGGTCGGCGTCGGCGGCCACCAGGCCGGGCCCAAGCACCGGCGGCGGCGGCCGCGGCGTGCAGGTGACGTTCACCGGTCGCCACCGGCCGTCATCCTCACACTGCGTCACGGGCTCGTCAGAGTCTGCCGGGAGGAGGGGCGGGCCGTGTCATGGCTGGAGACGGGGGTGGCGGGACCGTGATGAGGAAAGCAGAGAGGATGTACCGTTCGGGTTGGTGGTGGGGAGGGGCCAGCTACTGTAGGCTTCGGCTACGTGCATGCCGTTCGATGACTTTCACGACCATCTGTTACCTATCATACTCAAGTGAAACTGTGTTTAAGATGAAATAACAAATGCTGACGGAATTAATACCAACCAAACATGAGACAAACTTGTTGCGTAGGGTTTCGTGCTATTCTGTGTTCTCTTACCTGAACTGAGAACGAACCCTTCCAAGCACTCGTATTGCACCATGGCCTGCCACCTGGTGGTGCCATTTAGAAGCTCATACCGGGCGTTTTCATACCGCTCCGGCATAGGGCACACCAAAGCTGAAACATATGGCACAGCCAGTCAGTGAGATGGTAGTGGCTGGAGGCAGGATGAAGTCAGACACACTTATGGGAATATCGGATTCGTGACTGTCGGCAGCAAACTAGAGGCTACTGCCTACTAGCACCACAGCACTGGGTCAAGATGAAACAGTTATTTCGTCAAAATCACGCTTTGCCGAACATAAAACAGAATGGCAGGCCTCAGATTGGCTAATCACGCATACTGGATCCAGAGTTACGCTTATTACCTCCCGATTCCCTACCGCTGGCAGTCCATGACTGGCGACCCCTTCCTATTGAGCCCCTATGGTCAGACCACGGCCGACTCACGCTGACAGCGCGGCATGGCGCCGCTCCATCGGCCGGTGATGGCGCACGTGCGCAGGCCCGGCCCGCCCTGCATCACGAAGCCGGCGTGACACCGGTACTGGGCCGTATCGTTAAACTGGTGAAGCGGCTGGCTGCCGGCCGCCTGCTCCAGGTAACCGTTCTCCAGCGGCGGCGGCCGCTCGCAGAATATCTCTGCAAGGTCAGAGGGGGGACGAGATCAGTAGCCGCGCGGCGAGCGACAACAGGCTGAGGCGTCAGCTCCTGGACGGTATCGATGACAGGAAACTTACTGGCATTGTCAATGCAGTGTGTTATGCCTCGCCATAGTACAGAAAAAATTCAGACAAACCACTGCCAGAAAGCCCTGACTTTTAGTTGTCCCAATCCGACTCTCAGCCTCCACCCCTCCCCCTCACCCCCACTCACTGCGGCAGACGGGCTGCTGGCCGGCCCACTCGCCGCGAATGCAGCGCCTCTGGCGGTGACCGGCCAGGCGGTAGCCGGCCTCGCACCCATAGGTGGCCGTGTCGGCGTCTGGTCGGGTCACGTGACCGTGCGCCGGCGTCTCTGGATCGCCGCAGATTTGTAGGTCTGTGGAAAGGGAAGTTCAGGTCAGGTCAGTGGGACTGAGAGGTCAGGTCTGTGGAGAGGTCAGGTCAGGTCAGTTGGAGATTGGGAGGTCAGGTCAGTGGGAGATTGGGAGGTCGGGTCAGGTCAGTGGGAGATTGGGAGGTCGGGTCAGGTCAACGGGTGATTGGGAGTTCGGGTCAGGTCAGTGGGAGATCAGGAGGTCGGGTCAGATCAGTGGAAGATTGGGGAGAGAGGAAGTGAGGGGGAAGTAAGGGATCGTCTTACTACTTGATGGACATCAGACGGTCAAATAGTAGACAAAATATGCACGAAATGTATCTTCTTCACATTATCGTCTAATAGAAGGTCGTCTCTGGTGACCCATTGACGCTGGAACAGGTTTTTTTTTCTACTTGGGGCGGTAGCGTGAAACTTCAGTGGTTGAGGTGCCATGGTGAACTAGTGAGCAACGGGACACCACGGGGCATGAGCGCCGTGCTGTTACGCTGAGTTGTTACGTGGCGTTGTTAATTTGTACCAATGTCACAGAAGTGCTGATCACGATTGGAATTTTCGTCGACTAATGAGCTTAATGGTCTTTGCGTCATCAGTAGCCTTGTAGCGGTCAGTAAAGGGGTGGCTAACGGTACTCGAATGCACGTTCGGTATGCTAGGTGTGCATGAAGGAATGTGCGCAGCCGCCGATCGGGCGCCCATGTCCAGATACAATGCCCATCAAAATGTCAATGACTGATTCTAGACAGACAGTTTTACCTTGACGTAACGGGTTCACGATTTTGAATAATGCTAGCACAAATAATATGCACGACGATGCACCACATCATCGGCGCTGGTCTACTTAGCGCAGATGTTAGACATAGCGTTCTCCGACCGGTATCTCAGCCAATCGTAGCTGAGTGATACCCGAAAACATGTGGTGCGCGTCATGACCCGAGTCGTATCTGGCTCAGGTCGGGTACATTGCCGAACGACCACAGCCGCACGTTAATCAGTCACGAGGTTGCTGCACGTCTTCCTGCAACGATACACTAACGGGAGCCCATGACTGGAGTGACTGGGTGCGGTTCCATACCGGATCGTTTGTGGCTACTACGCTTTACAACTGCGAGTGCCTCTGTCAGCTGGTGCAGCACGCAAGGCGCCCAGTATGGAAACGGCACGGAATTCGGCAGTCGTCGGAACGGTCCACTGCCACCGTGTCACACTCCCCGCCCGTCCAGTGAGGTTAGGTTACGTTAGGTTAGACGCAGGCTGGATTAGCAATGGTGCGGTGACACTACTTATAGCTTACGCTGAGACCAATTAACAGTATTATAACATAACGCCGGGCGCATTAGCCGAGTTTTCTCTGCCTGGTGGGATCCCACGAGTCAAATCCGAACCCCTTTCGACTACCCGCGCTCCAATCTGACCTGCCGTGACCCTTCATGACCACTGCGACCTGATGTGACCTACCGCCGCTCGCTGATGAAACGCGTCTAATGGCTGTTTACCCACACTTGCAGCGCTCGGCTGCCGGCAGCGTAACGCACTCGTGACGTTACCCAACACGGCGTCACGGCCGTTACCCGTGACGGACGGTCACGGCCTCTCCCCGATCTCCCCGAATAGCTCTGATTGGGCGGTCAATTCGATCGGGCCGGCACGAATCGTGATCATTTATCTGCCATGCTCAGGCCGAGTCGGATATCGCCATCAGGCTGTGATATAGGTACGCCGGGCTCCGTGCGGGCCTGGCCAGCTTTCACCTTATTCCGGCTAGCCGTGAGGAAAATTGGGTGTTCAATATGGTTACGTCACTCACACCGTTGATTATACATAGCCTCATTAGCGTTGCAATGGTACAAAGCTGATCAAGTAAACCAATCGACACGCCATTCAAATGGGTGGTGTGAGCATTGTTGTCTTGCCACCTCCTCTCGTCTATTTTACAAATTGTACCCATAGCGCGAAGGACAGAGCCCGATGCTCACGGGCCGGCTGGCACCCACCTCTGAAGGCGAACACCTCCACCTCGCAGAGTGTGAAGTAGTCGAGGTGCTGGCGTTCGTCGCGGATGTAGACGTACTCTCCGACCAGGCCCTGGGCGCCGCAGCGGAACAGCCGCTTCGAGTCGGGCAGGCCGCCGCTGAAGTTGGCGCAGCGCAGGTACTCGGCCTTCGGCGAGTCCGGTGTGTCCAGACTGATGACGAAAATCATCAGGTCCAGGTGCACGGCTGCCGGAGGACAGAAAAGGATAGTGGTGAAACGGCTGGTGCGGGAGACGACGAAACGGCACGCAGGAGTGTCTGGTTTAGACGGACATAACAGAACTGAAACATTCGTGGCATTGCAGTATGGCTCTGGGCCAACCACCCATCCGAGCCTTTCAATTCTAGGTTTCTATCACACAATCATCAGACATGCTCCATTTTCAGTCGCCGAGATGAACGCATCTTTCTCAGCCCAGTCAGTGTTACGCCAGTCCCTCCTTTCCTCCCCCTGCTCACTGGCAGAGGACGTGACACACCGCACCTTGTGTACCAATTAGCCCACTGCCTACCGCGCCGGCGACCTTGCGTCGTACTCGTGCCGCGCATCTCAATCCCGCGTGCTAACATACCAGACAAAAGGAGGGGGCGAAGGACAACAGTGAGAGGTGCGCACGATCAGGTGATGAAATATCAGAGGTTTCAGACGTTTAAACAGAAGGAAGAAGTTCGCCCAGTCGCTGTTGCGACCGATGACCGTTACCATATCCCACGCCCATCGCAAACACGGTGCCCCACAAGCTACACGGGGCTGGTTACAACACTGGGACTATGGAAAAAGCTGACTCATGGCGCTAGAAAAACATCGCCCAGGCGCTTCACATTGTCGTATTCTTGTGCGGTGGGATAACATCTGCTGAACGCAAAACGAGAAGGTCAAGGGGGACAGATAGGATCACCGTTACCAAAGAAAATCAAGCTAGCTTAAATATGGAAGTTTGTCGTACCTATGCATAAGCGCAGAAACGGATCAGACGGTCATATGAAGACAGACAGACAGACGGACATAGAGACAGACAGAATAGACAAACGGTCAGCCAGTCATCCATCCACCCGGCCAGCTAGCCAGACAGCCAGGCAGGCAAACAGAGGCGGCACCACCCTCACCTTGCGGCACCACGAGGCCGACCGACTCGACCCGTGTGCGGCTGGGCAGCCGGACCTGCCACCAGCGGCTGGGCGCGGTGCGCGGCGCCCGGCTGCACGTCTCCATGCTACCGTCCACCGCCAGCGATGACGGCGACTCGGGCAGCGACGGCGCTCCCTGCGGCGACGGCGGCACCGTCGCGCCCTGCGTCACACTCCGGAAGGCCACGTTACGCCCTGGAACAGCGCGAGAGGGCGAGGGCAGGTCAGGAAAAGGCCACCTCTGCAGACCTGCGGTAGAGGTACTTTGATTTATTGAAACATATCCTTCTCACTTTTCTCGCATGAACTCGCATTTGTTCTGATGTGGAGGAAAACAGCTAAGGGTCGTAATACAGCGGACGTCCCACGGCCTTCGTCCAGCCTGGGCGGGGCCAGCCAGCACGCTGCAGTCGCCGTCCCTCACCCAACCTGTCTAACCACTGTGGCCCAGACCACTACCTACTCCACCGGCCGGGCCGAGCCGGCTCGGGCGACCGGCTCACTTTCGGTCTCGTTCTCGTATAGCGGCGGCCGGGTCGGAGGCCCCACCGCAGCGGGCTCACCCGGCACGCGCGGTCACTTCCTGCACCAGACCTCGTAGCGCGCAGTGAAAGTGACGCCCATGCTGCGGACGGGGCGCCGGTCCCAGGCCAAGCCCCGTATCCTGATGCATCAATGGCTCGCTAGGAGGTCTAGCTGTTACAGGACAGAAAAATATGTAATAAAAACTTATAAGCATTGCCTACCCACGTCTCCTCCTAAGCAATAAAAGCTGCATGCCTTGGGAAAGGTAATAAATTTAAGAGCTACCTTCCATCTCGTACTTATGTATGATCACAGCTCAAAAATGACTTAGACACATATGAATATTTACCATACTTATTATGATGTCGGCGTTTTTCATACGGTCCCGTTTTTGCGTTCTTTTTTAGGTTTCCGTCCGTTGATCAAGATGCTATTTCGCCATAGCCCGGGGACAGGAAAATCAACCTTTTTATCCCAGCGATCGGTTTGCCCCGCCGGAACCGAGCCGACAAAACCGCTCTCCTGTTTTTATCGCAAGCTATTTCGCGACTAAATTGATTCGTTCTCGATAGAACGGTCCAAGACCACATCCCGTCTAAATCACTCATGGCCCGATAGCTTTCCATTTCGCAGAAATCGGGAGCCAAATCGATGGCGTGTTGACATACGGCGCACGCTAGCCGACCTCCTACTGTGCCGGCCCGTCTCGACCACGGCGGAGTCGGCCAGTCGTCTCCAAATCGCAGCTCAGTTATACACTAAACACCGATATGAGCCGCTGCATTCACCGCAACATAACTCATCGGTAACGTGTGGAAACAACAGACGATGGATTAGCAGATAATTGTGGGGCCGCATGAGCTCCATACGTTACCGTCGCAGTTAGCATAAATCAGGATAAAATCCACTCCTTCCTATATAATAGACGGTTTCATGTGAAGACGTCTGCCAGAATTCGCTAAGACAGCCGCATAGCTTTCGTTTCCGAAAATGGATGTCATTGTGGCCCGTGAAATATTCATTAGGTGTCAGCTAAAAGCTCTTTTTACGGCGGCTAGGCTAACAGTCAACGACAAGAAGCTCGCTGGAGAAAATAAGCTGTAAAATGTTAGGTACATGTGAGCTTTTGAGAGGAAATGTGCAAGGCCTTAAAATCACACATAAAACATTGGTGCAAGTTTATCTATAATTTAATGTTATAAAACAGTGATTACCATAGGCCCAGTGCGCTGCAAAGTGTGGGCCCGATCATCAGAATCATCTTCAGAGCCATGGGTCAAATTGAATAGGAAAACTTCTTAAATGCGTGTCAACTTACTGCTAATACAATAGGCAACCCAAAACACTACCGAGAAAATGAGTTAATGTCATGCAATGCATGTTTGTCCGTTAGTGCCAGAGGTTGCCATGGAGCCTCTCTAAGCCGTGTGTATAGATGGGAGCGCTCAAATAACACGCCATTTCATGTTCATCCGAGCAGATTATAGAGTGTGCCCACTTTCTCTGTAATTACGAACACACGTCGTTCCGGCGTGCCGACAGAAATGCCGGGACCTCTGATGAATCGGCACCCGGTGGCAGGTTTTGGCCGCACTCCCGGTGAATGAGACAGGCGGGCGCGGCTGGTGGGATGAGCTCGGACCGGTACGGCTCGACTCGCCGCCGGCAGACGCCAGAGAAAGCTCTCCCAGCTCGGCACAGCTCGCCCAGGAGAGGATCAGTATCCGGTGGATACAGGGCCGCTGGCTCGAGGTCAGCCGATCGCACCGGATGTCAGGGACGACAGGGAGCGAAAGGATCAGGACCCCAAGGAACAGCAACGAAAACGCGACTGGAGAATTGGGAACGGGCGGAACATGCACTGGCCAACCACATTACCGCTCGTTGAACTCTGACTTGAGACATAAAAAAGTCACCAACACAACCCTGACGGCAGACCAACACTACCACTGGCGGATCCAGGCTTGCGTTTTGGGGGGGGGGGGGCCAACTCATGCGGAGCCAAACCTAGGGTACCCCCAAATCCTGTTTTCTCATCGGATTTAGGCCACTTATTTTTCGTCACAGCTCTGACACTATTAATTTTTTTTAACTAAAAAGAAAAATATATAAATGGTAGTCCACCCGACCCATGCCTTTATATTACTTTGTGAACACTTACCATTGCTTTTGTCGACCAGTTAACTCGCTTCGAGTCAGTTCTTGGGTCCCTTTGCGGGCCGGGAGGTGGTAAAACACCCCCAGTCTAACTCGGCTCCTGGGCCACGCACTGATTGAACTATGTTTCATTATCGTTTGGGGGAGGGGCAAACGGGCCACTTTAGGCCTCTGGGAAAGGGGCATGGCCCTAAATGCCCCCTCCCTGGATCCGCCAGTGTAAGACACCATTGGAGCTGCAGTTGGGTACCTCAGACGTCAGGGTACGCCCTCAGATGTATAGGACTTGCGTGGAGACCTCTTATGCTGTAGTGGACTGAAAGGACCCAAAGGAGCCCGTCTAGGGCTCCCGGAGAATGGAGATAGACGTGGGCCCTCAGGAGCCCGCCAGAGCCCCCAATGAGGGATAAGTGAGGGATACCAAGTGCCTGCAATTGCATATTGCATAAGCCATAACGCCTTTACAAATCAATATATTATGTATCAGTGGCAGATACAAGGGGGGCCACATGGGTCATGACCCCCCTTGGTGCCCGGGGGCACCACCGGCCAAGCAGGGGCACCACCGACCTAGCAGGAGCACCACCAGCCCGCCAGGGGCACCACAGGCCTAGCAAGGGCACCACGGGCCTGTGACGGGTCCCACAGGCTTGTCAGGGACACCCCAGGTCTGTCAGGGACACCAGAGACCTGCCAGGGGCACCACCGGCCTCGCAGGGGCACCATGGTCCTGTCAGGGGCCCTGCCGGCCTCGCAGGCATCACGGCATCACGCAGGGGCACCTTGGGCCTGTCGGGGACATCACGGGCCTGTTGGGGGCGCTTTAGGCTTGTCAGGGGCACCGCAGTCCTGTCAGGTCCCAGGGGCATCAGCAGCCTAGCAGGGGCACCCTAGGCCCGCCAGAGCCACCACAGGCCTGCCAGGGTCCAGGGGCACCACAGGCCTAGCAAGGGCACCATGGACCTGTCAGGGGCACCTCAGGCTCCCGTGCCCCCCCCCCCCCTGGATCGGCCAGTGATGCCACACCACGCGAAACACCGCCAACTACCAGCTACCGCGCCATAAACACGTGCCAACAACAGTCTTTTTTTAAGGTCGACTCCTCTCGCGCAACTTTTGACTGACCCTCACTGCTACCATATTGCTTCCATATTATGCTGTGGAAAGCTTTACTTCACCAAGTGGCTAAAAACCTCCATTAAGGTATATTTTCTTAGCATTTTTTCGGACGTTTTGGGGGGGGGCCAAACCGGCCACTTTAGGCCTTTGGGGGGGGCCATGGCCCCCGTGGCCCCCCCCTGGATCCGCCAGTGAACACTACCTGCGCTAACGACGGAGCATCGACCGCGGTCAGTCGGCCACGGCTACCCACCGCTCGTCCCACAGACACAGTCGTCCACCAGCGTCATCATCGGGTCACGTGACCGTTATCAAACCGTCACGAGAGCCATCACGCCGTCATCGCGATGCGATCGTCACAGGCGGTGACACGAGCCGGCACTGCGCTTCAGAGACAGCCGGCGAATAACGCAATCTCGCGCGGCACGCTCGAGCTGAGGTCTACGAACGGGCACGGCCGGGAGTCGGATGACACGCAGAGAGACACACCCACGGTGTCAAGTGTTCTGTGAAATAGGGGCCCGGCCCGTCCCCGAGTGAAAGCCGGTCTCTGGTGCCGAGTGCTCTCAGACAGCGCTCGAACGCAGCTATGCTGCAATGCGTCGCTGAGGTCTCCGAACCGCCACGCTCGCGAGGAGGGAATAAGTGGCGCCGCACCCCCTGGCAGTTTCTCTTCTCCCACCGAAACTGCCGAGTGTTTTTTGAGTAACTGGGGAAAACCTGTTCACGAGAGACAATCCAGCCATTGGACTGAAAACTCACTACCACAAGGTAAAACAAACTCAAATCTCCCAAGCAATAAGCATGGACCCCCGGATTATCCCAATAAGCACAGAACATAGAACATCAACTCTGTTGATGTTCTATGTGTACAGCTCATCCCAATTATTTCGGAGTAAATACCGTCCCGTGGGTCCGACCTGGCGGTCAGCAGACGGTGTCGAAATCCAGTGCGGTCCGCGGTGAGCGCCTCCGGCCGACCACGCAGCCTTGAACCTCGCTCCACCGCCACTCATAGGCGGCAAGTTTCGCAAACGGTGCTTCAGTCAGCGCGGTGCGCCCCACATTTCGGAGCAGGAGTGGCCAATGACTCCGATACTGGGATACGATTGAACACTGAACATTACACGAGAATATTACACGAATATTAGGTACAGGAGTGGCCAATCACTCCGAGACTGGGATACGATTGACCACTGAACATTACACGAGAATATTACACGAATATTAGGTACTATAGAGCCGAGGAAGCAGCGCCTGTGCTTATCACACGTATGCAAGCGTGTTGAGTGGGTACGGTCAGCTCACATTCGCAGTATGCAAAAGCCTCAGTCACGGCCCTAGTTGGAGTCATATCCAAGGATGTAGCGTAGCATTCAGCACGAAATACGAATGGTTACATCAGCTGACCGTGTGTAATATCGTTTAAACAGGCGACGAGCTCCTGACCAGTCGACTTCTGGACGGAAGCTAGCGGTCCATTGTACGACAACTGTACGCTGACTGGAGGTCGGTAAGCAGACCTAGTGGCGGTTTCAGTGACTGCTCAGGCGGTTCGTCGTGTGTTTAGCGAGGTGGATGGCGGCGAGCACCGCTGCACGGTCGCCACGCTGACGTCGGAAGTAAGCGCCGACTGTGCAAGACTGCAGCGGCGCGCACTGTTTGCATTGCATCATTCCTGCCATTGCAGCCATGCCAGCAGTTGGGGTGACATCAGCTACGACAGCAGCAGCACGGTAAGATATCAGAGTTTTTCGTCAACATAAATTGAAAAACTTTCGGTTCATGAGAAAAAGATCACCCTAACAGTGATTGTTATGTAAATTTTGGCCATGCTTTTGTTTTGAGTAGGATAAATATCGCACCCTAATCGTAGGTTGAGTAGGTACCTAATGATGCAAATTTAGCATGCATATTACATATTACATAATACTCATAGAAGTGGACATAAGGTACGTGTTGCCGCATTATGTGCAACCCGTGACCCCGCAATCACGGTGACTATCCCGCAATAAAGCCATGTTCTTGCTAAGTCAGTACATGGTAGGAAATGCCATTTCAATTTTCAGTTACGAAGCATCAATCCAAAACAATAATAGAGACGACTGTTAAACGCATACCTACCAGATCCAAAAGTTCGTTAAAAAAATGTTCGACCATTCCGCTGGTTGATTGGAATAGCGGATAATACGGCGCAAATATTAGAAATCATCGGTCTTTCATAGGCGCAGGCAACAATACATACACTTTACAGGTGTTCAGCTTCTTTTTGAGTATGTTTTCAGTCGATGATCTCGGTAGAAGAAGCACTTAATTCGATACTATTTTATAGGCAATACTCTTATTGAGATTAGCTTTACAGCGTCTGAAACTATTTTCGTGAATTCACAATGATCGTTTCAGCTGAAACTGCTACGCGGCACCCAGTCCACCTGTTACCAGCCGAAATTGGCCAAATTGGCTGCACGTCACGGCGCGTGCCGCCGGTCAGGCGCCGCTGGAGCGGGAGATTGGCACCGGTCGCCGCACTCGGCCGCCTCTGCGCCGATTACGCCGCACACCCAGCGCCGCGCCGGGTTCGCCACGCGCCATGTACGCCGCACGCGCGCCGCCGCAGCGCGCATCAGGGTCGGCCGGTGAGTCAAAGGCCCCGCAATGTCAAGCGTCACCCGGGGATGGCGAAATCACGAGTGGTAATGACCTCTTCACGCCTTCCGTGCTACATCGGTGTAAAATCTGATGACGCGGCGGTACTCGCACGACTATCATCATAGCGTGTGTCTCAAAATGTATATTATCTTTTGATAAAAAATGGCATTTTTGTCACCGGAACGGCAAAAACTTGAACTTAACAGGGCAACTAGCAGTCTGCATGTCTCGGATAGTAATGTGGTACAGCCAACCACAAGAGAAACTCACACGAGCCGGTAAAATGGGACGGGTCGACCGCGCGATGATAGTTCACACGTCAAATTAACGGTCGGAGGCAGAAAGCTGAACCGAAAATGTCGTCCACCCCTCCACGTCTCCATCGGCTCCTGCTATAAAGCGCACTTTTATCACCTTCTCGGACAAATTGTTTGATATTCTGCTTACTTTTGTGATGTGCTAATGCATCCATTATAAGTTCCATGATGAGACTCGTTTTGTTACTAGGATTTGGTTGGTAAAGTGGACCACCTTACCACCCACCGCCAACTGCCCCTACAGCAGCCTGTTCCGGAGCGCCGCCCGAGCGTGCCGCTGAGCCCTACCAAAGGCGCCGACAGGTGCTGATCGATTACGCAGGGAATCTGTCCGGGCCGCCGTTTAGTGCCGCCTGGGGCATTGTCCATTACGGCTTAGGTTTCCAGTACCGATGTGTTTGTGGCTTCGTTAGCTCGCTCGATTACTGTCGACACCGAATCTCTTTCTCTTTTCACCAGCATAACGAACATTTGTCGACTGTCCCTCGTTTGTCGGACTCGGGAGTCGGCATTAGCCGGTGCGTGCATTGTGCTGTTATGCTCCAGGGCGATGATTGTGGCACCCATCAATCACCATTTCTCCCTGGACCTGGCATCAGCTCGTGCTGTGGTCGGCTTGGAACGATTTTTCGTTCAGCGTCGTAAATGAACCAACATTTACACAAACTACGAGGAATAAGAAGGAACCCCACTTTTCTGAGCAATGCAACGCTAGGAATTTAGGGAAACATTCTTTTAGTGTCAGCCTTGAAAATATTATTGTACTTTTACCTACGTTTGCAGGTTAGATAAACTCTTAAACTGCACTCTGGTGGGTGAATGGGCCATACATTAGCTAGTAATGGATGGACCATGGATAAGCTAATAATGAATAATATGCGTGGATTACCTAATTCATGCATGAACTGATGCAGTCGGGTGATATGCGGTAGCGGTACTCACTGCAGAACGGCATGAGTCCCTGCCAGGTGCCGTCCTGGGAGCAGGTCCGTGTGGGCTGGCCGAACCGCACGTAGCCCGGCCGACATGTGATGGTGACATTTTCTCCGGCGTAGAACAGCTGACCGCGGGGTGACACGGAGCCGTGCAGCGGCTTGCCCGGCGAGCCGCACGGGTACCCTGCCGCAGAGAGGGCACGGTCAGACACACGGGCTCCGAGACGGTACACGGGTAAAGGGCACACACACACTAAACACGGGTAGGTACCCTGCCGCAGAGAGGGAACGGTCAGTCGCAGGGTCGTGGGAATTGGGACGGTGGTCCAAACACGGGTACCCTGCCGCAAGGGGACGGTCACAGTCGCAGGGGTCACGGTAGTATAAATTCCCCCCTGTCATATATGTAGACGGGGAAACTGTCAAGAGTCGCAGGGTCACGGGACCGTGGGAGTCCCACGCACAGCTTACCTACCATGGAGAAGGAAAACGACCGGGGATTACCATAGGAAATACATACATACAGACAGACAGGCACACAAACACAGACGGACAGACAGCAGGACCGAGACGGGCGCAGCGGGAGGCGAGGGCGGCCTGACAGCGGTGGTGGCGCAAGTCCGGGTCCATGATTAGAATAGCGGGAGCGGGAGAAAGACGGCTCGACTTCCTAGTAAGGCCGGCCGATCTGGATCTGCTGCCCGGTGCGAGTCAGTCCTCCAGCGTTCGCTCTCAGCGTGAGAGCCCTCTCTCGAGCGACTCTCCACTCACACAGACGAGGCCAAGCCAATCTCCGGAGCGTCGCTACAATCACATCTGGAATGACTTCCTCTACTTTCGATTTCTTCCGCTCTCGATCTGTCCCAGCCCTATGTTCGCTCGCCCTAACGCAGCCGTGAAAGCGGCGCTCCGATCATGTGGGATTTATTTCCCGTCTGCGTTACTGATTACAATCAGAAGCAGCTCACACTCCAATCAGAACACGGACGGAGCGGGGCGGATAATTAGAGCACCTGGCACTATCGCCCGTGAACGCACTGCCGACAGATGTATGTAGAAGCGGCTCACGGCGTAACGCATCACCCCCAGGGAGTAACAACACAATACAGCCGTCCGCCCTCTGCCGAGAAAGCCTCGCCGGAACTGGACGACGAATCATTCTCACAGACATCAATTAATCTCCCGCATCATCAGACTACGGTGAGCCGTGGCTCAGACAATCGGTAATTAAATCATCTGTTGTTGGAGGCCACATACCAATCGAGCTTATATGTGCAGGAGAAATCACTTCCGACGCGACTGAGGCGCGAGCCCCGCCGGACCTTTGGTATCTTCGATGAAGAATGATGCTTCCGGTAATTAGGACGTAGGCATGTGCTGCTAACGTGAAAACAGCAGGCGATTAATCAAAACAAATAGACCAGCTGTGATCAGACGTCTCGATACAGAGCCATGCTGCGGAAAAATAATCACAATAAGCTGCCTAGCTTTGATTGATCACTAACACATGGGGCACAATGGAAAGCGGGTAAAAGTTTCATGGTGGAGCTTAGGTTCTGGGATGAAATTTATTTCTGTTGGCCGGCTGACGTCACCAGTATGAGGTAGAGCGGACGAGCAATGACATCATGCGAACCGGGAAGACAGCTGTGCGAACGAAACGCGGATGTCTCCCACGCTGAAACGGGGTAGCCTCGGCCTGCAAGCTGCAACGGACGCAGGGCACGCCAAGCGCTCGATGAAAATCACGTGGCAAAACGTGCCCTGGAAGGATCCAGCCACAACATTAAGTGGTTTATCTTGTCAGCTCAGCCATCATAAGCAATCCACAAGAGCCAGGAAAATACCTACAGTCTAGCGCTCTTCTAACGAGAAAGTTCCAACGCAGGCGAAAAGCATCTCGAGCAGCTACAACTCAGACACGTGGGTCTCTGTCACGGCATCAGAGAGAAGCGGAGGCCGGTCGGACAGTGATTGCCTCCTCTGTGCCATTGACTGCAGCAGCGTCACCCGGTGGTCGTCTCCCACATCTGGCGCGACAAGTTCCGGCGCCGTCACCCTGGAAAGCGGCCTCTTCATTCTACAACTGCAGCGTACCGCGGCGGCAGAGGCGGTGGACCCTGCCGCGCCGGTCGGTCCCGTGTCAGTTGACCACGTTCTGGGTTAGCGGAGTCACCTGACGGCGGCGACAGCGCGTCATATGGTGACCGACGACCTGACGGTGCGGGCCAGCTACGAGAGGAGACCGTGGCAGCTGCTGCGCGGCAGATTGGTCGGTCGCGGACGCCCATTTATCCTGTCTGACGAGGACAGGGCCGGCGTGGCCCCGGGGCGGTCCTCCGGCCACCACCGGCCAGGTCGGACCGCTACTGTTACAACAACTGTGTCAGAGCCGGCAAGGTCGGACTTTGGATAAACGACCGGCGAAGAAAATCGTCAGCCAAAGCGCTGCTGGCTTCGGCCCGCTCTCGGCCGACATAATAACACGTGATCTGTCCTCATTCGACCAGCCATTATATCTGAGGAAAACGATATATGAGCTTAGGAAACTTATGGGTATAACAGTCCCTAGCTTTCTCCGTAAGGAAGTCTTAGTGGCTACTGTCAGACAGCATATCTTGATTACTTCCATAGCAATGCATTGCATTAACAGTAGCCATAATCCCAAATGATTGATGGGTTCTGCCAAAACCCACGGAAACAAGATAATCAACGAATTGCTTAACCACCCATGTATGAGGTTTACGGATACCTTTTGTATGATTCTTGTGATAGATGCAAAAATAACGAGGATCACGGCTGTTGTCAAGCCAGTCTACGCTACCTAAAACAGTCAGATTTATCTAGAAAGCGAACAAATCGTTATTGCCCTCGAGTCAGTAGCCAACAGTCACCCGTACCCTGAGGGCGCCCGTGTCCCGCCCCGTGCCCCCGGGCTCTCGGTCCCGAGCCGGGTGGCGCAGTGGCCCTGAGGCGGCGCCGCGGGTCCTGTCGCTCGTCCGCCGTCACCTGCCAAGGTCAGGTAAACAGCGATCGACAGCCATGGAGGCGCGCCCGCATCTCTGGCTGGGGAGGGGGTGGTCGAGGGGGTCCGCCACATCCCCGAGTCAGCTGGAAATTCGACCCGACCCACAGCTACAGGGGGACGGTGGCGAAGCAAATGAGAATGCACCTTAGGTCGTGTGGCGAAAAGTCGTTTCACAACCAGCGGCTTCCGGAGCCATAAACTGGCAATGGCAATGCCGTAGATGGGGTAGTAAAGCACCACAACGTTCGCACGCTCCAATTCCAGTGGCTAAGCATCATGAACAATGAACATGCATCCCGCATGTCTCCTTTGTCAATATCATGCATACCGTTTTCGTAAGTCGTCATGAGATGGATCAGCTGATAAAACGTGACAATACGCTATGTTTCGCAACATGCTTTTTCAATTTGATTGAAGTTGCATGAGGACTGCAGCAGAGCTATGTTCTTCAATCGACCTCATACCAAATGGTGGCAACGTAATATACACAAAAAATCAGCTAATAAGATAAACTTAAAGTAAAGGCACATACAACACCAAGTGAAATGACAACTGCTGGCTATCACTCAAAGTTTCACATTGATTTAAGTTTCAAATCGAGGTCGCTCGGTCTGTTTCGTCTCAAACGGCTCCGCCGACTGCCATCCAAGACACGTTAAACGGCCATCGTCTGTAAATAGTCTCCCCGTTTCCATTTGTCACGGGCTCAATGACGCATTCTCCGCCCGTATCACGACTTTCATCTCGGCGCAGTCAGACCGTCACGGCCGGCGCACGGCGGTCGCAGCGCGCGCTGTGCCACACCGATACGGCACGCAGCGTGCCTGCCCCGCACCGCTCCGGGGTATGGGGGTCGTGCGCGGTACGTCAGCCACGAGATCGCTGTTTGACGGCTCCAACGCCCTTCCATCATCCAGACTCCATCAGTCCAACTTCAAGGCTTCATGAAATAACGCAAGTTACTCGCAGTGAACGGTCACGACTGAAATCAACTCTTGAAACGGTGCTTCCATATTCTTATGATCGTTAATTGGACGAATGGTCAGACCGGTCCCATCAAGGAAGTGACAGAGGCGGTACCGGCCTGTGTCATCCACCCCGTCCCCGGGGAAGATAGGCGGTGCGCGCGTGGCGGCCAAAAGAACGACGCAAAGATGGAGATGGATGAGATCCAACGTGCTGCGCCCGGCCGCGGGGACGGGTCAGGGCCTGGTCAATGGTAAATACAATAGTACAATGTCCTTGGTTGTCGGTAAATCAGCCATAATGTGCCACCTAGAGCGCTAAGTACAGAACAATTAGCGGCCAAACTTTGTATTAGAAGCGCTCACAGAGCAACATTTATACGATAACCTAGCCATAGTCAAATAAATTGCATTGAAAAGCTTCCTGAAAACGAGTTGATGGGGGACAACTTGACGCTACGTCCAAATCAATCGGTTTACATTCGAAATTGCTGTTTTTGGAAATGACGAGAGCCGTTCAACTCACAATATCGACATCGATCATTACTATGGAATCCTGTGCGGTCCTCAGCTGACCGGAACAGGACGCGACGGGACTGAAGGGGAGCCACGGACCGACACGAGACGCGGAGCCCCGGTCGGGCGGAGAGGAGCAGTTCCCCGCCGCGCCGCCGTCAGATCAACAAACAGACGGCGCTGATGAGAGGGGCGGCGCGGCGCCGACCGCCGACCGCTGAGCTGCTGTCCAGGAATGCGCCGGCGCTGGGCCGCGTCCCGCTGATGACCGTCCCATGCAGCGCGCCGGCGGCTGGCGACCGGCCCTGCCGCGCAACGACGACCGGCGACCGTGCCGGCGGCGGTGACCCCTGCAGTGACCGGCACTGCAGCGGCCACGGTCACCAGCCGCCCGCTGAGATACTCAGAGTGGTCTGTAGGCTGAGTGGGAGCCTGCAGAGCGCCCACAGTTTGTCTCACGCACAGCGGGCCGCACAAACTTTCCCACAAATAAGAGCGTGTCTGAGTGTTCACTGTCACTTTTTCAGACAGGTTTCCTTGTCAGCAATTATTCCGGTCAATTTATACGGCGTCTGTTCGAAAATCGTGACATGCAGCGCCTGAAGTTCAATTTTCCCGGATAGCATTGTCGGATACACAATCATGGAGAATATTTAGAGCACGACTCAATGTCTC